ACTTATCCACTCATTTAGCATGCATTGAAAATGGAAATTCACATTGTGGGAGAGTCACTGTTTTTCATTAGAACACTGCAAGTTGCAGACATGTTAAGTCCGTCAGACCAAATTTAATACTGAAGAGCAGATCTGTCAGAGTTGTTTAGACACCACTAAGTTAAAAGAGATGAAAATAGATATTTATATGATCAAATTTTGAAATATGAAAAATGACATCAACTTACAGGCTATAACTAATGTGTGATCTATAACAATGGGAAATTACACACTGTGCTCCAACAGTTTAGCCACAGGACATTAAATGCATTATTTTTAGATTTTGCAGAATGTAGAGCTAATTGGCTATTTTCATCACAATAAGCAGCCTCTGTGTTGTTCACAGATTAGGAAATGCTACTGGGATAGACAACATCTAACACTTTAAAAGATTTTAGTAACAATTTAGGCATGCATGCATGGATTAATTGCAAATTACAAGCTCTTGCAATCCTCTTGACTTTCCAGGAAAAATGTCTTAATTCTTTGCATCATTTTTTAAATAAACATGCATGTAGGAGCTACTTTGCCCAAATATCAGACACATTTGGGCCTTTTGGCAAAACTCTGTCACCACACTGCCAAGTGTTGTGTGGGCCTCATCTTGCCCAGAAGTCATGTAGCATGCTTAACATGGGTTGTGGCAAGTATTGTGTGAATGCTGTGGGTGTATGTGTGGCCCAAATGTCACAATGTAACAAATATCTGTCTCATAAGGTGTGCATGAGAATCCAGAGATATAAAGACATTGATTCTTCAAAGTGATGCTGCTAGCAACAAGTGGAATTTAAAAAAAACATATTAAGGTTTCGTCAGAAATTTTGAAAATCTACATAACCAAAACTATCCTTATATAAACTGCTTGTAGTTTTAGTGTCATTAAAAAACAACAACTTAAATTACATCCGAGACCTTTGTGCCTAGCTGATTCTTCTTCTTCTTTTAGCTGCTCCCTTTAGGGGTCGCCATAGCAGATCATCTGTCTTCATCACACCTGATCTCTAGCATCCTCTTCTGTCCCACCAGCCTTCTGCATTACCTCCTTCACTACACCCATTAATCCTCTCTGTAGTCTCTTTTTCTCCTGCCTGCGTGCAAGCTCCATATTCAGCATCCTTTGTCCAATATATCCAGTATTTCTCCTCTGCACATGTCCAAACCATCTAGCTATTACCTTTCTAACATTGTCTTCAAACCACTCAACCCTAGTTCTCCATCTGAAATATATACATTTCTATTCTAGTTGATCCTGGTCACTCCCAATGAAAATCTTAACATCTTCAACTTGTCTCTTTTTTTCATGCTGCCATCTCCAAGTATACATTATAGAAGGTCTCTCCTGTAAAGCTTCCCTTTCACTCTTGCTCCTTTTCTTCTGTCATAAATCATTCCTGACACTCCACCTCTCTTGTGCACTGTCCGTTGCTTTGGAATGGTGAATCCAGGTATTTAAACTCATCTACTGTCACCGTCTCTACCATGTTCACTTTCCCACCCTTTCACTTGTCTCCCTCTCACAAACAAATGTGTTCTGTCTTGCTTCAACTGACTTTTGTTCCTCTTCTCTCCAGTGCATACCTCCACTTCTCCAGGCTCTCTTTCATCTCCTCACTACAGATCACTGTTGTTCATTCATACAGTATGTCTAAATGAAAGATTTTGATGATGCCTTATGTGTCAGAATTATGAGAACAAATGAGTTACATTTTCTTGAAACACTGTGTCTCTTTGGCTTTCAACCCCCAAGGCATTTTACACCAAAAAACTAGTCCACCCCAAGGATCACTTCCCCTGGCACAGAATAATATACTGTTGGGCACTACAGGAGGAGTGCTGTGAATTATACATCGGGGAAACCAAACAACCTGGTTAAGCAGATTGCTCAGTGCAGAAGAGCTACCTCATCAGGCCAAGACTCCACAATGGCCACTCTTTCAGTGATGAGACTATAGACATCCTGGTTAGGGAGGAACGCTGGTTTGAGTCAGGAGTCAAGGAGGCCATTTATGTGAAAATGGAACAACTGCTCCATTTTCACATAAATGCTCTTTCTCATATCTTCATGGTATGGCTCGTGAATTTTGTCTCTCTGTAGCTGCTACAGCTCTGCTTCTTGTTCTTGAAAACGAGTACTAGAAAACTTCTTCCTCAGGCCTCATTCTGAAATTGATAAGCAAACTGGTGTAAAACTCAACAGCCCTCTCCCATAGAAATCTCCAAACCTCCTCATGTATGGCATCTGGATCAACTGCCTATCCACCCCTCATTCTTTTCACTTCCTTCTTGCTAATCCTCTGCACGTCATATGTCTGTGACATCATGATTCACATCTGTTCTCCACGCTCTAATTTTCTACACTCATGAGCACCTCCTGCTCCTTCAATCTTCTTAACACACTCTCCTCACCTGTTAGCACACTTCCATTCCTGCCCTTGATAACCCTAACCTGCTGCACATCCTTTCTAGCTCAGTCTCTCTGCCTAGCCCACTGATACAAGTCCTTTTCTACTTCCTTATTGTCCATCCTCACATGCAACTCACTCAGCCTTTGCAATTGCCAGCTGTTTTTGCTTCCCTCCTCCTGGACTACTGCTGTCTACTGTCCCTTACTATCCCATTTAGCAGGTCATATGTTAAAAGCAGGCACTAACTGTGAACATTGCTTGATAATGGTGTCTGCTCCAAAAATAATGATTAATGAGGTGTTATACTTTGAGATGATTACTCTAAAGATATTAAGGTACTAAAGTCAGAGTTTATCATTTATTATCTCTGAACAAAACCCTAGTTAGGCTGTCCTTTGATATAACAGCGTATTTTGTTAGCTAACAAGATGAGAAGTGTTAAGAAAGCATTTTTTAGTAGAATTAATGAGATGTAGTTTTTTACTGTAGCCAGTATTGCTATTGCTAAGCTAATATTCAGCAAAATCTGTACGCTTAGCAAATGGCACCTTTAAAGAGTTAAAGACACCAAAATTCACTGACTCACAGATGCAAAAGTCAGCTGCAATTATTATATTAAATGCCAAGGTTACTGAAGAAAACAAGAAACAGCATGCTGCCTTTGGCCTGTTGAGCAGGAGAAAAAATGAAGTGGCAGCTAGTCTGTTTTGCTAACATGACACTCCCAGCTAATTGCTGTCATAGAACCAGAAGCTAATCATTTAGAAACTCCTTCTGACCACAAAGCAAGACTGCACCGTCTTAAACACACAGGGTCCAAACAGCAGACAGGGTTAAGACTGATTTGTCAAGGGGCTTAGATGGCACTCAAAGACGTGCACACAAACGCACACGAGAACAAATTCATACAAACTCACAAAGACAGATAACAGAAGCTGTAATTACAGAGTTGCTGCTCAGCCGTGAGTGAACAACACAGCTCCGAAGAGAGGACGCCTTATTCCAAGCACACACTCCCACACAGATCTGAGGATAGGATGCTTTACCACTACTACGGCTATAATTACTACCATAAAAGAGAGTGCTAGATAAGTGCAGATATGACTATGGGTGGACACTCTCAAATGCTTTAACATATAATTACAGGAATACATAGATTAGAGCGCAGGCAATTTGTAAGATGAAGGTCAACAAGAATTACGACGTTGTAGTACTTCAAGGTTATCACAATTTGCGTGCACGAGTGTGAGCTTATACATATGTGAAACCTCTCAAGAAATCGGAGTGCTCAATGTCGAAATATGGTGATTTGCCTCTTACCCTCTTTGTCCTTTTCTTGATAGGTTCAGCCTGATATGTGCACTGTATGTGTTTGTGTGTCTCTGTGGGTGAGTCACTCGAGTCAGCGAACTATATGTGTGTTTCTGTGTGTGGCAACTGGCTAGAGAAGTGGACCTTAAGTGGTAGGATAGAGGAAAGTTACTCCAGTTTCTTGGTTGGTTGGTCACTGTATGTTCAATTCAGGTGAGGATTAAGAACAGGAGAAATGTGCAGTGGAATTTTGTCTAAGTGATTTACTGCCTTTAGTACATCATTAATTACAGCAGCCCACCGGTGACTTGAAACTAAACTTTAAGGTTAGTTATAAGGCGTTAGCGTAGCAGACTTTACTCCTGTGGAAGTAAAAAGTCTTAATAGTTGGATAGTTACAGATATCTCTGCACCAGTAATTGTTTGTCTGTTTCTTTATTTGATCCATGGCAGTACAAAACAGTACATGTACATGTTTTGGGTAGTACAAAACACAGTGGTAGCTTCCTGACAGCGTTTGAGTGATACCAGAGCAGCTTCACTACAGCGTGGCGTTCATTCTACAAGTGTCTGCTGAAGGACTAGAACACCACCTTCATGAAATAATTCCTCATTTGATGTTTTAATAAATGCAGTCTAACATGTCCGGCCAACATCCTCAATAATAACTAATGACCACGAAGCCCAGATCCTAAATTTATACTCAAACAGCTCAGTGATGCTCTTGGCCCCATGAATGGGTCTATGCATCATCGGTTAAATCTAGTTACGTCTGCCTATAAGGCCACAGTTTTACTCGCTCTGTGCAAGCTTTTATTTACATAAAGGACAGAAAGGCAGAAGGATATTTTGGAGAGTTTTTGAGGGCACGTCTGAATACTGACAATGCAATGGAGAATACACAGACATCTGCATAGAACAATAACCGCTGGCGTCGTCTGCCATTGTTAATTTCATTATCCATACCTGCTTTACTTCCTGTAACATGTCAAGCTCTGGAAATGTCTGTCATGCTAGTTTTAAGAACATGTGTCTGGCTCTTCAGATTGCTGTAAAGCCAGTAGCTGTCTGTGTTGCAGTGTTTGCTGAATCAAGCAGCTCACTAAAACCTACTAAATATTTAAGTGGTTTCTGGCCTGAAGATGTTTCTGTGTCTGCCTTTCTTTCTGTCTCCTTCCTGCTTTTCCTTTTCTTTTCTCTGAACTCTTCTTTGTTTTTCAACTTCCGTCTCCTTGCCATCCTCAGGTGTTTTGTGGAACTTGTCATCATGTGATGCCCTGAAGATGCCCATCATCCAGGACGCTTTGGCCGTTCTGACCAACGCTGTGATCATCCCACACTCGGGCTGGGACACCTCCCCGCACACGCAAGAGGACCGCAAACTGCACCTACACTCCTCCCAGGTTCTCCGCAATGCCACCGGCTGTCTGCGGTAGGTGTCTCTACCTGTTCCTTAGGAAAAAAAACAGTATTCACACATTTCAAGAATCCAACATACAACTGGAGAAGTCTCTTTTTGAAGATGTTGTGCTGTTCACAGTCCTACTGTTACCGGCCACATCTAAAAAAGTCTCTGTTAGTTAAAACAGTGTTATTTTTAAATTGTACGCTGTGTTATTTTTAACGCCCTATACACAGAGAGAACTGAGAGAATTAGCTGCATTTAAGATGAGTCATCGTTTGGCTTCAGAGCTGCTGTGGCTTTGCTTTTTCTCACTGGAGACGTGGTGCTAGTCTTACAGTTCAGTAGTGACACGTGCTTTTATCATTTTGTTTTGGGTCTTTTACTCCAGCACGTTGGATTAAAAATAAACCTTTTGCATATGAAAAAATGTGAAAGCTGATTCTGATAACACACAGTATGTCACTATTTGTTACCTGAACAACACCTGGCACCAGGATGCATTATGGGAAGAAGGCAAGCTGGCAGAGCAAGAGAGTGTGATGCTTTGAGTAATGTTCTTCTGGGAAACCTTGGGTCAGCAACCACCAACTAAACACAATACTTTGTGAAATATCCAAGAAAATTGTTTCTGCAGAAGATGGAAACAACAAACTGGTTTTGCCACTTGGGGCAAAAACACCGGGATGAGTACAACCAGACTACAAAGGAGGATATATTAGCAGCTGGTAATGTAATTTGCGACTCAAATCTAAACAAATGATTCCACAGAGCGTCACTGGAGCACGTTCAGTTTCTTCTTCAGGTTCCAGGCAAATGTCAGGCTACAAAGGAAGAAAGAAAGAGTACAAAAACACCAGGTTTTTCTCTTATACTCAACTTTTGTGCAAAATTGGATAATTGGATGTCTTTCTGCCTTAAGTAGTGACCTTAATGAAACCATGTGAGAGGTTCACACAAGACATATGTGAAACTGGATGAGGAGACTTGATCGGTTTTGCATTTTCAGAGGTCACAATCCAAAACAATAGTGATTCATAATCTTTGTATCAGTGAGAGGCTTTCAGCATTACAAAATCTTCATGATGAAATTTCTGTGGTTGACTCTGAGCTCATAAATCTTTCTGATGCAGACGTGTAAGCAGTCTACGAGACATTTTTTGATGTGCTATTCATTTGAATCCATCACAGCCTTCTACATCAAAATAAGAACAGAAAACATAGCTTGCAGTATTATGACAAGTCCACCTAAAACAGTCTGTACGTACCTTATTGGTTGAATCGACCCTGCATCTGTCCATATCCCTGCACACTGACAGCACGTTATACAACAGAACAAATAAGTTTGCTTTAATAATGCAGCAGCTCACATCATTCACTGAATTTTTTGACAGTTGGACTGGGGGCTATTTCGACACATTTCCTCTCGAGGATGTGGCACAGGGTGCAGCGGGAGCTGAGTGGGAACGCTGCCATGACTGTATTTGCATGTCTTGCTTCCTGTCGACACGCGCATGTCTGTTTGTCCCTCTGCCTAACTCGGTGTGTGGGCCATTAATCTCAGCCGCGATATATCTCCTCATCCTCCCCCAGTGAAAATAAGCTACACATACTGGCTACTTACAGAGGCTTCTGTAGCTGCTGGTGTGTGTGTGTGTGTGTGTGTGTGTGTGTGTGTGTGTGTGTGTGTGTGTGAGAGAGAGAGAGAGAGAGAGAGAGAGAGAAGGCACACATCTGATACAGCAGTGCGTGTGTGTTTTTTGATTCTAGTTGGCGTGAGTGTGTTGCAGGAGATAGTTTTGTGTGGATCAGCTCCCTAAACTCGAAGGGCTAATTCATCTTTCTCACGCCTTGTTAGGGAATGCTGGGAGTCTGATTAAAGATTGAATATTTCATGGCGGGTTTGGTATATCGCCGGCCACCTGCTCTCTCTCTCTCTCTCTCTCTCTCTCTCTCTCTTCCATCTCCCATTATCCGCCTCACATTCTCATTTTCTCTCTCTCCCTCTTTTAGTCACTTTCTCCTCCCTCGCTCCATTTACATCTCGTCCTATTACTCCGTTTCTCCTCTCTCGATCATATTATCCCTCCTTTATGCCTTTCTTCTTCTGTCTCACGCCGTCTCAGCCACACTGTCTCTCACTTTCACACAGGCACATTTTCTCCCTCTGCTAACTTGCTGCTTCACGCCATATGCTGTCGAACCGGCTAACGGGAAGAGCTAAAACTTGTGCTGTCAGACTGCTGAATGTGAATTATGTGCATTGAATATGGCAGCTAATGAAGAGACAGTTAACCCATTTATTCACTGTACTTGCAGACATGCCTCTGCCACGCTTCTGGGACAAATTACATCACTATCTGGTATCAATATGGGTGAATGAAGGCAAGAATGTGATTCTTTTAAATGCTTCTCATCAGGGGACATTTGAACCTTTCTCACTGAAACTACACACAGAAATGCAGCACCAACTCTTGCAGTCTTATATAATAAGGCAACAGGCTTTTCTTTAGCTCTCAACTGATCTACCATCAGTCCATAGAACGAATGATCTGTCTGGGTTAGAGAATACATTGAAGGCCTGTAATAATCACTGACTTGATATAGCCTTTTTGCAGAATCCTTCTTTACAATGATTTTTTGTGGACTTTCTTTTGCTTTGTTGCTTTGTTACAAAAAACATTTGCCATTAAAATCTGAAAGCAACAATCTAAATTGTCCATTATGTAGTCCCTAAATGAGCAAAATGAGAACTACTGATGGATTATAATGCAGTTTTGGACATTAAATTGCTCCATGTACTTGTAGATACATCCTGCCAGCTGTCAAAGAGAGAACTAAATGTGCACACAAACAAGGGCAAAGCTAAATAAATATATCGAATGAGACTTTGTTTTTTGATTAGAGAATTAAAGATTAGAGAAAGACAAAGAAATAGGCTCTTCAAAGAGTGACATTTTCGTCGATGGACATTTTCCCTCAGCTGTAGCGGCACGCTGTGGGTTAATCAATTGTGCTCGCTTTTAAAACCTGCTTTATAGACATGTAACCTTTGTCCTGGATTGTGATTCTCTCCTTATTTAGATTCTTCACACCAAAAGATCATAATGAGAGATAATCTGTAGCAGTGGTTTGCAAGGGAACGCTTCAGAGGGATTAATTATCTGTAATTGAGTGTGGTTAATTAAACTGAATCTATTAGCAGGTAGTAGCCAAAATGTGGGAAATGTCTGCAAGAAAGAAGTATATAAAGAGGTTTACAAATATTCTTAAGTGTTCTTTACTTTGGCGTTTATCGGCGTGTGCCCTGTGTGGCTCACAGTGCTTTTAGTCAGTGTGTCTGTGTGTTTGGGCTCAAGACAAAAAGAGAAAGATTCAGACTAGGGCTGCCACGATTAGTCGACTAGTCACGATTACGTCGACTGTTAAAATCGTTGAAGACTAATTTAATAGTCGACACATCGTTTGAAGCTTTGTAAGATCCCAAAAGAGGCAGGAATAAGTACCGGTAGTAGGATTTAAGAGTGTAATAACGGACTGAAACAGAAGATGGCAGCACTGCATGTACAAGGATGCCAGCTGCCGTTAAACCCCGAAGAAGAAGAAGCTGTGTCCCAGAATTCATAGCGCGGCCCAGCTAAGTTGTCAACAATGGCGGCAGCTAGTTAGTTTTAATATTACTCTTATTATTCTTTCTGGGTCACAAAATAAACGATTAACATATTTTCAGGCGAGAATGTAGCTGTGTAAACCTCAAATATCTGCTCAGTTTATCAAGACACCGCATATTTTCAAAAGCGCTCCGACGTTTTCGGAGACGTCTGTTACCCACCGCTAGCTCGATAGCTAGCCGGGGGCAAGGCTCACTAGAGCCGTGAGAACACCGGACTCCCGGCAAATCGTTTTCAAACCCACCGCCGTCTTTCGCTACTCAGGTTAAACATGATATATAAGTCACTTAGATAACTTAAAAGTTACTGTTTGCCTTTTTTTAAGTATTTTATTGGTTCCTGATTAAATCGGTTTGGCTGAGATTAAAGTTAAGAGTTTTTACACAGCTGAATAAACGTCAAGCAGATTAAACTCCATTGAAACAATCTGCAAATGTCATTAAAATTTAATAAACTCTCATCTTGCCTTTATTTTTAGTTAGCACATACCTTAAACACTTAAAGCTGTAAGCTAATGATAGTTATATAAGAGCAGATGCTGCTGGTGCAATAAGCTGTATGTTTTACGTCCAATGGATCCATGATCTGATTAGTCGACTAATCGCAAAAATAATCGGTGACTAGTCGACTATCAAAATAATCGTTTGTGGCAGCCCTAATTCAGACTAGCACACAGATTGTCAACAACCTGAAATATTTAAGCAATTATTTGACAGTATAGTGAAAATATAATGCTCTCATAACTTAATAAAACTGAGAGACATTCCGCTGAGGGTCAGAATTAAACAGCCCGCTGCATTACTTAAACATGTAACTTCACCGCTACATGTTTGGAGGTTTTTTTGCATTACATTTAAGGTCAGGCCTCTCTCTCAAACTCTCACCAATACATTCAGAACTACACGACCTCAACAGACTTGGGTATTAAAACAAACATGACTGGCTATTAAAAAAAATCCAGAGTGATTCCATGAAGCTTTGAAAACTGGTAGCTTTTATAAACACAGCCTGGGAGTGAATAAAAATGGCTTTTGCCTTTTTGTTTAGGACGAGTAGCTTGGGATCAGACATCTAACCATTTACCAGTACAGGACCTCATTCAGTTTATACACTGTTTGGAAACTCTAACAGTTAGAGCTTTTGCTGTTCTACCATTTCTTCGTGATTTTTGTCAGTTGAGTTTTGTTTTTGTCGTTGTAAGTCCAGTGACACTCCATTAAGGTCTTTTTTTCTTCCCGTAAACCCTCAATAAAATATTTTTTTCTTACTGAATGCACCTTTGTTTTTACTGGTTAGGCTTTTTGATGCTGGTTATGGTAGAGAAATACTTCAGCCACGCCTCCAACAGTACAAGTGTTTCTCTTTGTGTTCTTGCTGGATAATATCTAATTTCCGCACTGTATATGCTTGTTTAAATATCGAGGGTTTTATGTTCTACATTTTTCTCTCTTATTCATTTCACTGTTGAGAAGAGTTGATAAATGTGAGGCTTCTAATCCTCCCACTGCAGGCGAAACACCTTTTCCATTACATCGATTTCCAGCAACATTTATTTTTAGGAGGTGTATGTCTATATCGGCCAAAATTTTTAATGTACACATGTGTTTACACGCAGTATGTTAGAGTTATATTTACATCACAAAAGTAGGGCAGGAGATATTGTTGACTGACTTTCCAACAATCACAACTTACTGTGTTCAGCTGTGGTGCTACTCTGCTACATGTGCTGCATAAAACAACAGAGTTGTAAATTGTAAGGTAAAAATCCAACAATAACACGAGAGAAAACCCCAACAATCAGACAACCCCCTATGAACAAGCACTTGATGACAGTGGGAACAAAAAACTGCCTTTTAACAGGAATAAATCGAGGCAGACCCAGGCTCAGGGAGGGAGACGGGGCAAAAGACTCAATGTAAAAGAGAGTCAGAGATTGATAACAACTAATGAATAAATGCACAGTGATGTTTAAATACACTGAGACTGACAAGAGGTCAGTGCAAAAGAAATGCTCAGTGCATCGTTGGAAAGCCCCCAGCATCAGTTTTAATTTCTCTGAATTGACTTGATAGCTACTTTTAAGCTAAATGCTATTTTTGTGGCCAGGAAAAAGTCAGTACTGGACACAAGATACACAGAGTACTTGAATTTCTAAGGAAAGGGTAGTCTATGATTGTGTGTTAAACAGTCTAAAACTTTTTAAATTGCCATACTGGTAATACCTGATTATAATCGTCTTAATTCCATATTTTTGGATGCCCATTGGCTGATAAGTTTTTTTTTTGTCTACTTTGAAAGCATTTATTTTAAAACGGTAGAAAATTTGTGAAGCCATTAATAGTGCACTATTTTTGAGTTTTGTATCTGCACATTAACCACACATTGTAATAACCTTCACTATCATAAATAGCCAATTCAGAGGCAATGGAGTATTCAGATGTTAACAGAGTTTACATAACTGAATTAAATGCATAATTGTCATTCATTTGGTGTTTATTTGTGTGACAAAATGAATTAGAGGTGTCGTCTTGCAGCTAAACAGCACCATGCCTTTTTAAATTAATTTGTTATTCTCTGAGAAAAATCAAATGCAGAGCTTTGTCTTGGTGCCATTTCTCACTGACACTGAGGGCACAAGCATTTCCTAGCCATCTCTAATAGCCTGACATTTAAAGGACATTACATCCAGCCTCTCTCCTCTCTGTCACACAGACAAGCATTTCCATACATTTCAACAAGCACATGTGCTCGCACTCAGAAAACCTGTGAGGAAACAAAAACTAATGGGCAGTTTGGTGTGTGGAATCTTCTAAAAGCTGTTCTGTTTGTCTGTTTTACAGGAATGTGAGCTCTGCAGGTGAGGAAGCCCGTAGGAGGATGAGGGAGTGCGAGGGTCTGACTGACGCTCTGCTCTATGTCATCCAGACCGCTCTGGGGAGCAGCGAGATTGACAGCAAGGTAATGCACATACACACAAATGAACGCAAATATCTGCAAGGCATACAAACTCACATAGCCTCTAGCTCATTCACACACACACACACACACACACACACACACACACACACACACACACACACACACACACACACACACACACACACACACCTGCACACAGTAAAAGAGAATGATGTGGAAGGGCTCTGCAAATGTGTTTGTGTGTGTCCTCTTGTTTGTACACATATCATCAAGAACTCAAATGCACGTGGTGCTTTTGCTTTCCAAACATGTGTACTATTTATGATTTGCATAAATCTGCATGTGGAAAATGCAAATGTGTTTAATCTTTTCCCTCACGGACTGTATGCGATCACTGTATATGCATAATCACTCTCAATCATGTTCAAAGCTTGCAGGCCACAAATACACTGCAAAAAATTATGCACAGGTTAAAGTTTTTTGTTGCTACATTCACAGCACACAAGCTGTTTCCAAAATGCTGTGTAAGATTTAATGATTTGCAAACCAGTTGATCCCTGTATTCATTCATTTGTTTAAATACTCAAAAAAAAAACATTTACCAGTACAAAGATCTGACCTCAGTTGTCGTGAACCAGTTTCAGACCTGTTAAAATTGGTGCCTACCCTAATCCAAGATAATATTGACATAAACATAACATAAACATAACTCACTGTCCAAAGAAGTTTGAACTATTTTTAAACATTTAACTCAATATAGTTGTGAAAAAACATTTTTTAAATTTAATGCCAACAACAGGATTCAGGAAACTTTGAGCCATGACTGGAAAAGCTGAAGTTTAAAAGTTTTTAAAAAATCTTTTGTGTATTCTTTTGAGTGTCAGGTGTAGTGAGAGGAAGACTGTTATGTCAGTCTGCAGTAATTCATATCTGTCAGTGCTGCTCTGTTCTGTTTTTGGACAGCAACAGTAAAATGCAACACAGAACACAGCAAGCATTAATAACAGATATTAAGTCACATACAGCATGAAATAAGGAGCAGAGGTAGAGGTGGGTTGCACAGCGGCTTGCAGATGTTCTGTAACTGTGATCAATTGAAGATGCTTAAATAACGCACCCTACGTGAATTTTGCCGATTGGATGTATAGAAAGCTAAGTAATGAGGTAATGTCATTTGGCGTCTAGATGAGATGATCTGCCAGGATCATGGCTGAGGTCAGTTGAGCTATGACAGTGCTCAATGTGTGGACTAATTATATATATATTGGCAAGAGATGAATCACTTCATTGGATATAGAAGGAACAAAAAGAAGATGGGAAGACGTTCAGTAATAAGTGTGAATATGTGGGGAAATGATTTGACAATTTAAAACAACACTGCACTCTCTACGCACTGTTGTTGAGTTAATGTGAAGGCCATGTGAAAGTTGTAGTGACTGACTCTGAACTGAAAGTTGGCGACTATGTGCCTCAGCATCCACAAGGTTACTTCCACTTTAATATGATACCATTAACAATTGGCTGTGGAATATTTAGTAGGCAGGCAATTTCACGACGGTACGTGTTGCACTAGTGGCATCCTATCAAATTCACATTCAAATTTTATTTGTCACACGCAACCATTAGAGTTGGATGTCTCGAGACTGGTCGTGGTCTCGAGACCCGAGACCACTTTTACGTGGTCTTGGTCTTGTCTTGGTCTCGACGGACTTTGGTCTTGGTTTTGTCTTGGTCTCGGATCCCTCGTTCTTGTGAGACCGTAGAAACGGGTGAGGAGGGCTGTGCGAGTGCATCGCACTCGTAAACGAAGCAGAATCTGGCTGCAGTTTAAAGACTTTTTTGTCTCGGTCTCGTCTCGACTTTGTCTTGGTCTTGACTCGGTCTGTCTTGGTCTCGATACCCTCTGGTCTTGGTATTGTCTTGGTCTTGGTCTAGGCGGTCTGACTACAAGTCTAGCAACCATATGCACTATGACGTGGTGAAATGCTTATTGCTGTGCTGCCTGACCATTAAATGACAGTAAGAATTCACAGTAAGATTTACAGATTTACAGATTACTACAAAATTTACAGATTTTAACTTAGAAATTTACAGTAAAATGTGCAAATAAGAATTTATGAAAGACATTATAAGAAGTGTGCAAATAAACAGAGTGCGTGCAGTCCTACACCTGGTTCAGGACCCGAATAGCCTGGGGGAAGAAGCTCCTCCCAATTCTCTGTGTTTTGGCCTTAAGGGAGTGGAAGCGCTTCCTAGACCTCAAAAGTGAGAAGAGTCCATTGTTGGGATGGGAGAGGTCCATCATGATCTTCCTGGCTTTGGTCTTGCATTGCTTGGTGCAGATGGACAGCAGGTCAGAAAGCTCTGATCAAATGATATGTTCGGCCAAGCGCACCACTCTTTGCAGATCTCATCTGTCCTGCTTGGTGCTGTTTTCCAAGCCAGGTCCAGATGTTTCCCGTCAGGACGCTCTCGATGGTGCAGGAGTAGAAGTTCTTAAGCACCTTCAGTGGCTGATGAAAGTCCCTGAGTCTTCTGAGGAAGAAGAGACGCTGCCGGGCTTTCTTAACCAGGGTGTTAATGTGACCAGGACCATGACAGGTCCTGAGTGATATGGACACTCAGGACTTTCACTTTCACATTTCAGTGTACCACACTGGAAGTCATTGAGCTCCTGAGAGCGACCCAGTCTTTCACAAATGTTTGTAGAGTCTTTGGTCTTCATGCTTCGGTGCAGATTTTATACATCTGTGGCCATGAAAGTAATTGGAACGCCTGAATTCACCAGAATTTAATTGAATTAAGTGAAATTTTTTGTCGATTTAGTGTAATTTGGGGATTTCACCATCAGCAATAGGGAGTGATCTCAAGCCTTTTTGATTTAAAAATAAACTTTCATTTTGTTTCTTTGTTTTCTAGTCTTTTTTTTAGAGTGTACCATGCATTACTCAATCCAGATGGTCAGTGACACAGAAACATCTCTAGCGAGAGTTTTTCAGCACGCTTTTATTTGAGCACATTTTCATCCATGTGTATATGTTTCTGTGCCACAGATACATGTGTGTTTGATGGTGTTTTTGTGTTTCTAGCTGTGTGGGTGTTTGTGTGTGAGTTTGTGCGTCAAGTGGAGGCCCTTCACAAGTAGATGTGAAGTTTTTAATCCGCAGAAATCCTTCACAAGATCAAAGACTGTGACTGTTGACTGCATAGACACTCACAACAATAGGATTAGCGTGCGTGTGTGTCTCTCTTTTTATTATGTGCGCTGCATGTGTGTCTATCTGAGTTTATTTGCTGTGTATACAGTCCGGTCCAGAGTTTGGTTGGGGATGTTTTAGTGGTGGCCATCTTTCTGTCCATCACCTCTGTGTCTTTCTCTTTTGCTCTCTGTCTCTTTCATTACCTCCCTCCATCAGACTGTAGAGAACTGTGTGTGCATCCTGAGGAACTTGTCGTACCGTCTGGCTGCGGAGACCTCTCACAGCCAGCAGGGGGGGTCGGAAGAGTTGGACGGCTTGTTATGTGATACTGGAGGGAAGGACGCAGAGAGTTCGGGATGTTGGGGCAAGAAGAAGAAGAAAAAGAAGGGACATGACCAGGTGAGAACAAAAGAATGGAGAAACTGGTCAGCATTCATTGTCATATAACAATCTGGTAGATTATGACTGTGGTGACAAATACATGGTGGCTGTTTTCTCTGAACAGTATTCTGATAAAGGGAAAGACCTGAGTGACCTGACAAAGCTGGGGATAATGCTAACATACACAGGTATCACACTGAGCAGTGACCACGAGAGCTAAAAATGCTGAATAAATAACTGCAGTCCCTTACGTGACCATTTAAGACTGGCTCCAAAAGCTAGTCTATAACAAAAAGGCATTTTCCCAAGGTGCATCGCAACCTTATTATTAAACACTCAAGCTTTGAAGTACGTAGTGCACCCATGTGAGAATATTTCTGTGTCCTGCCTCTTACATGCTCTACTCAGCCAGCCGCACCCTTAGTTCTTCCAAACTGCAAGAAGATGACTGATGCAAATGACACAAATTTTGTCTAGAGAAATTGGAGATTTACATGTGCTTTTAGAAACTTTCATGTGTGTTAAGAAGGAAGTAGCTGCAGTAATCAAAGGTGACAGTTACCTGTTCTTATGCTAAAAAGTTTCTGCTGCTGCTCATCTGATCTGTGAAATCAACCTGGTGAAGTCTGCACAATGGCTAATATGATTAATGCGTTATTTATTTTATGTATTATTTACATTATACTGTATTTTACAGCTATTAAAACCCTTTGAAATATTTTTGAGGGATCCCTTTGACTGCTTCTTTTCAAAACCAGATAAATTGGCAGAAAGTTTTTGCATTCCACCATTTTTGTCTAAATGTGGTCCCTTTGACCTCAAACGAACAGCTTGATTTACTAACGCATTCCAGCGTTCCAGCGCAGACTGGGTTTTGTAAAAAAAAAAAAAGTACTGTTGGCATTTACAGGGAGAAGAGAGGTAAGAGGTGGGAACTTAAAGATTTTTGCACGTTTTCCCTGTTGCATATTTATTTCTGTGAGTTTCTTTCTTGGGGGGGAGAATATTTACATGATGACTTATTTACATTTGGAAAATGTACTGCTAATTACTGCTAATTGCTAATTTACTAAAAAAAAGTCATATTTTTTGTGTTTGATATTGAGATGAACTCCCTGCACCTGTGCTGTTTAGTAATTCTGGCCTTAGACGCTAAAATCAAGACTTCAAAATGGGACTTGAGATACCAGTGACTAGCATTTTTTTGTATCTGAAGTGGCTGATCTACAGCTTGTGTTTTTTTATTGAAGATAAAGTAGACTGCATAAGTATTTTCACAAACCAAGCACTGGGGACACTAGAACCGATGCCCCCGTTCAGACATCCAGAATCAAATGGTGAAGCGCATTAGTTCACATGCAAACAGGTTTCTCATTACAAACAACCCAATTTATTACATCTCAGTTAAGTGGAAGTGTTGGAACGTAACTGTAAAATCCAAGTCAAGCATGCAAATTACTGCCTCATTGCAGAGGAGAGGACTTTGAGTCCCCATCATGTGAACTCTAGGAAGCATCAACAAATGGAGCATGGCAGCCACCATGCAGAGGTGACAGATGGCTAGATAGTTACATTAGCTCAAGTTGCTGTTATCTTTAGTGTCAGACGTTTTCTGTGTTGTGCTTTTTTGTAGTGTTAATTTCACCAATAAAAAACTATGATGATTCCAAATTCATTCGCCTGCAGCATAGAGTGCAGTTTGACGTGATGATGCTAAGGGGCAACAGTTTAGGGGCAACATTTGGATTTTCTAAATAGAGAGTCTGTTTAAGTGATCAGAAAACACAGAAAAAGAGAAAAATGTGACAAAAAGGACTTTAAAGTTGAACTGGTGAAACAAAAACAACAAATTATTTGTGAATGGATTAAATCTGATCTGTTGATAATTGAACTATAGAACAATCACATTTGTATCTGTGAGCTTTGTGTTGTCCTGGTGTTTTTAATTGGCACTTTGATTACTGGTTTATCTTACAGTCTTGGTTTCCTCCTGTTACTTTATCGCTTTCTCTGCCTGTTGTTCTTCCCCCGCTCAATCCACACAGATATCACATATAGAATTTTAATGGCCTCATAAAAGCCTTCCTTTATGAGGATTTCTTTTATGGTTTGTTTAATGCTTGGGCTGTACCAGTGGGTATTCTCTGACAGGGGTCCATGCTACACTAATTAAACCTGAGTAGCAATGTGTCGGCACAGATAGGAGAGTGGTTAGTGTTTAATACCATTGTGTTAAATGTAAGTCCCAAGTTACAAGATGTTGCAAAACAGTATCCTGGGCCTATCGCAGAAAAGACTACATTTTATGGGTAACATTTCCTAGTGAAATAAAGTTCATAAAAATGGTATTACTCACCACCAGCGTACATTTGTAACAGCTGCCCTCAGTTAAAATATTGCTGTTGATTTTCTAAGACGAATGGGTATCAGTGTAGGGACTCATGCTAACTAGCAGCATCAGGACGTTATGTCTTTACTACCCGTTTCCAGATTTAAAGATGCTGGTGTGTCTCTGAGTTTCCAGGCTCTGTCCATCTGTTTCATCCTCTGTTTAGTTAAAAAGTGAGAGCTCTTCTAGTTGGCAGAAACCAAACGGCTGCCTTGGAGAAGGCTCTAACCTCTTGTCATGCTAATAAGCAATCAGCATCACATTCTGGTTGAGTGGAAGATGTCTTTTACCACTTCTAGTGAAGCTGCAGGGATTGAAATTCTGGCACTTCCGGTGGGTGAATTGCTCATTAGCCCTGCGTGCTCCTATTTTTTCTCTCTGTCATTTCTAGGAAAGGCAGAAAGAGAGAGAGGAGATCTTTATAAATGGTAGCAATGAGCCATGGCCTTTAACTAATTTGTTGAGCTAACCATTTGCAAACTCGCATGCAAACCAGGCAGAACCAGGGAGATGAAGGATTTTAAAAGTAACCCTGAGATCAGATCGTAAAGAGACAAATCATAACCTCTCCAAACAATAATATATCAGGCCTCTCTCGCCCCTCCATGTGTGTTTCTCCACTCCAGTGCAGCTGTGGATGATTACCATGAAGGAGCGATTGGGGAGCTTGTTGGAGAGGGAAAAAAACTCTATCAACTGTTGGGTAATTAGAGAAGAGAGGAATAAGGAGATGCTAAAAATGACAAAAGGAAGCGATGGAAGACGGGGAAAGAGAAATCACGGGAAGAAAAATGACCAAATTTTCAGTGCCATGTGTTAGCATTATAACACAGACTATAACAAATGCAAAGAGAATGGGAGACTTGTATTCTTTGTTATGAAAAACAAAAATATTAAGCAATTACCAACATAACTATAACTGTTGCTAAGCCCATTTGTCTGGCTCTGAGCTCTAGCTAGCTTTAGCTTAAGCCGCTTAAATTTGTTAGCTTCTTTAAAATATCCATGTTTAGCTAGGTGGTGTTGATTTAAATGTCTGATTAACCTTTTTGTAGTGGCCGCTCAGCTTACTTTGACTAACATTGTGTCTTCACTTGTACTGAAGAGCTTCTGTGCTAACTATTAGTTAGCATGTGAGTGACAATGGGATGTGTATTTCTTGCATGCCTGAGATAGACTGAAACAGCTGGTATTCAGGCATTCATGAGCCCAAGCTGCAGCTGCATTTATAACACGGGATACTCGATTACTTATGGGCAGGACAGCGGTGTGGTGTTTATTCTGCAATTATGCATTATTTAATAGTTTTAAAATGAAATGCCCAGTAATTTAATAACATGCCACATGTAGTAAACTGTATATGTGATTCTATAATCCCAAATTGATTTCATAAAAGCCCGTCCCAATCTGTATTTAAAATATAGTGCTACTTATAGCTTCAAAAACTAATGGTGCTGCATATGAAAATATGGAAGCAGCTACTCATTTGTTAATTATGTTGCAGCGTTACTGTGAGCTCTCCTGCATCTGAAAGATTTTTCACATTTATTATTGATATACAGTATCTGTGTGTTTTTAAAAAAAAAACATCATCCAACATCATTCGATGAGAGTGGGGAAAAAAATTGCCAGTGGTCATAAGTTGCTTGTGACAGTGAATCTCGTCCTTCTCTCCCGTTATTGCCTGAGGAGACCGTGCTGGCACTCCACCGCTGTCAAACCTCACCTCACAGAATTCTAATTGCTTTTCTTTTCTGAATTATGTGTCATCTTCCGCAGTGGGACGGCGTCGGCCCATTTCCAGACTTGGCGGAGCCCCCGAAAGGCATCCAGATGTTATGGCACCCCACCATCGTTAAGCCCTACCTCACACTGCTGTCTGAGTGCTCCAACCCAGACACCCTGGAGGGAGCAGCTGGGGCTCTGCAGAATCTAGCTGCTGGCAGCTGGAAGGTAAGAATGCAGTGCAGTGGCTGAATCATTCAGATACTAAATGGCATCTGCAAGATGCTCTCCAAGTTCCAGTAGGTGCCAAAAACACTCTGAAAGTAATAATATAATAATATAAAAAGCTTAACCACTTCAGATATTCTTTTGATTTTGTGATGAAGAATGATGTTATCATTTAACTAGCCCTTTAAGATTTCCTCTTACCTGAGAGCAACAAGTAGTTTCAGTACATTGTGTCTGAAATCAGCATTTGGTAAAAATAAATGCAAAAGAAAGAAAATTGCCTTTTAAAGCACTAATTCAAAGTTAAGAGCATTTGTAATGTATAATTTGCTGTTAATTACACCGCTGATGAGCAGCATGATGGTGCAGCACCTGTTGCCTCACTAATCCTGGGTTTAAATATGCTGTCCCCATGCTTGTGCGCCTTCTATCCGAATAATCAGTACTGAGTACTGAGGACCTTGTCCGGGAATTAAGAACGTTTTCTATATGTGCCAATCTGACCAATACTTTGGTCCTATAACTGTGCAATGAAAGCTTTCCAGAGGATGACTCCTAATGATCTGGTGATCCTCTGGTTTACAGAGCACATGGCAGGAGAGGTGTTTCTTCTAAAAACCTTGCGTTGTATAACATGCCTTGATGGCAAAGAGTCAGACCCGTCATCTCCTTCACAGACACATCCCCAGTTTACGCTTGCGTCTGTGTCTTGATCATGTGCTTTCACATTTTGTTACTGCCCACATCACTTCTGCTAGCGTGTCAAAGGGCACAGTTATACCATCAGTTGCTTAGAGAGGACGACGAAAGAAAACAGGATGTAACCTCTTGGCATCAACAGAACGAAGTCGTTTACACCTTGCGAAAGGGAACACTGTGACTTCCACTGTTGACGTATTTACCTGTTTTCTCTTTGTGCGGTACGGATAAGGGCAAAGCAGCAACCTCAACAAAACAGAAGCCTAAAAAAAATGCAGTTCCTGCAATGGACATCTAAGAGTTTCAAAAGCAAGTCATTGAAAGGCGCAGCCTTAATTCATGGGTAATTTTTATATAACTTATCAGGTTGTTTATCAGTTTGTTTCTTAGCACTAATTAACTGTATGTGTGTCTGTGCAGAACAGGTGTACAGTTTATGTGTACAGTTTAGGTGTACAGCAAGCTAACCAAGCTTGTTAGCATTAGCAGATAGCTTGGCACTTTTATCCAAATATGGCAATTTGTGGTTCCGAAAAAATGAAAATGGATTTGGCAAAAATCTCTGTCCACCTCTCCCTGTCCTGCCCAGTGGTCCGTCTATATCCGAGCTGCAGTGCGCAAAGAGAAAGGACTCCCTATCCTGGTGGAGTTACTGAGGATAGACAATGATAGGGTCGTTTGTGCTGTGGCTACAGCCCTGAGAAACATGGCTCTGGACATCAGGAACAAGGAGCTAATTGGTGAGTAGCCACACTCGCCCCCACCTGTCCATACAAACAAATCTACACAGTCTGAAAAAGATGACGGGGTAAACAAACCTTCGAGAGCAAAAACACACTCTGACAGTGGAGCAGAATAACATCTTTATGGTCTTTTTCTGGATATTAGGGAGTAATTAAAAATAAATTTCTCTGTAGACTAGTTATCTTCACGCACTGAGAGAATTACTCCCCTGCTTCAGTACATCCTTATGATATTGGTTTCTGCAGACATGTTTAAATGTCATGTTTAGCATCTATAAAAGTTGCAAAAATATTACATAGTGCATCATCGGTCTTTAAATTTGTTTCTACTTTTTAAGCAGAAGGTAGTGTTTCTTGGACTGATCGTTTACTGCTACGTGTTCCCTTTGAGACTAGGTGATGTCTGTAATAACTCTGCTTTTCTACTGGTCCCCATAGCAACCACCACATGTTTCCTTCCACTTATTCCCTGATGCTGAGCGTCTGATGGTCGATGTGATGTTTCTCTGTGTGAATGCAAGCGTCCGTGTGCAGGCTGTAATGTTAACTTTTCTGCCGTGCTGCCATGGGGCATGCAGGTATATTGTGATAGGACACATTGCTTTCCCCTCAGCCATGTTGTGTGATGTGCTTCTAATGCAGTTTATCATGTAAACACATGTGTAGCTGAGGCCTCAGAGCTGTCAGCAGCAGATATTAATAGCATCTGCAGTGAAAGGTTTGCTTTGAGCCAACTAACGCAGACGTTCACTTCCCAGTGTGTTTATATCTTTGTAATTATAGCGGTATCAATCATGATAATTAAAAAAAAATCAGAGACACACACATCAGAATGTTAAACCAATCCAGTGCCAGTACAGTTACACAGTTCATGACAGCTTATCACTTTACTGCAGCATCAGCTTATCCACGCACTTTACAGCTGAGCGCGGTGAGTACAATAACTAGCACTAACAATATTCACTCTTCTGCTTCTGCAGGTGCTCTTCTCACACGCAATGAGAGAATCACTTCCCACAATAAACAAGCTGAGTTAGTGAGTCACTGACACAGGCGTAGTTACGGTGTTGAATCACCGGGGACCAGTGAACTGTTGGGGGTTTAATTTTATTGTGATTTGTTTTCTGTGCCCTGTGCATTGGCTCACAGCTGTTCTTTTCTTTGTCTAGTTTTACTTTAAAGTTTGTAGCTGGCCTTGTTGAATTGCTGCGGTTTAATGATCTGTTTTTAGATGTTCAGTGATATTTCTACTCTAGTATTTTCTTCTTTCTTCTTCTCTTTTCACTGTTTGGATTATTGAAGATTGTCCCTCCAAAATGAATTAAAGGAATTAATTAAAAATAAATAAAGTATAATAAATAAATACACAGGAAATGTCTTTCGTGTTAGTCTTTTTCTACCTGGTCAAATTAGAGAGCAGAAAAGCATCTGTAGTCCGTGTTCTGGGGAGTTTCCGTCTAGCTGTGATATTTAGTTGCAATACCTGCAGTACCTCCAGGTGCAGCCTTATTTCCTAAGGTGTCGCCACAGCTGATGGAGCCATAAAATTTTAAAAAACAAAATAATTAAATATAATTAAAATGATTCTGTGACAATAGGAAACTCCTTTTTACAGTCTAGCCTTTTTCGTTTTTTTCTCTGTTGATCTCAGCGTTTTTTCTTAACAATAATTTGAGCAGTGAAAATGACTGATGAATCTTTCCAGTACTGCAATTTTGTGGCAGTAGCTAAATCAGTATGTTTATGTGGTTCTTATCTACCCTTAACTTCAGTAATTGGTTATACCAGTTTATTTGTCGATTGCTTCAATTATCTAGAGATAATTGATTTTTTGATCTGTAAAATAGGAAAAGTTAGAAAAATCTGACCTGAGCCATTGTATTGCTTTCACTTAATTATCACTTAAAACTAAATGTGTATTTTAAAATAGTAGTAGTGCTTTGTGCTCACAGTTATCCATGTCTTCCAGCACATCATGCTTCAGATCATTTCTCTGCAGCAGTCATAGAAGTAGCTAGTATCACTGCAGTCACCTAGAGCAGCACTGCATCATCACTTGCTTTGCTGTATTGAAGAAATTGATCTGGATGTGGATAAAAATGTAAAGAGTTCTTCCTTTGCTCATGCTCCAAAAATTTGTCCAGTTAGGTTTTGCTTATTCTTGCTGGTCACATGGCCGTCCCTCAACGCTCCTGCTACGACGTAGAAATAGTAAAGTTTTATTGTAAATTAGTAACAGTTTCTTCTTATATATTATGTACAGCAGCAGTAAAACACATGTAGTCTGCATGCAAACTGTCAGTGAGTCATGACGTGCAACTACACCCCCAGCACCACCACCATTACCACCGCCGCCACCCCAGGGTGATGACCCAATCAGAATGGAGACCAGAGAGCAGAGCGGACAAGATTTCCTGACAGCAGTGTTCAGGTGTCATGGGAAATGTAGTCAGTCTGTGTGAGATCACGTGGTCATGTTTCCATCAGTGTCTGACAGCAGGCCTGCCAGGCTGCAATTTTACCTCAGTGGTAGTGAGCTCCAGCTTTCAGAAGCTTCTTTCTTTAAAAAACGAAACAAGGGAAGAAAAATATCTTGATATTTGTGACTTTTTTATTTTCCTGTGCTTTTTTAACTGACTTACAGCTGTTTCCACAATATATGCTGTACTATGGTAGAAATTACAGTGAAAGTAATGTGAAATTACACTAGATTTAAGTCTACTGTTAGCTTATAATGCATATGATTAAAGTTCAACACATTTTGGTAATTGTTCTACTGGGTAAATTTAGTAGAATATAATAAAACTGTCTTTGCTGCAAGTTTTGGGATTCTGAAAGTTCCCACATAATGTTTGATGAATATGTTAGAAGAACAGAATACATATTAATACTACATTTATTTTTTAGATGCAAATGTCTTCTACTGTTTCCCTTTTCCACATCAAACTTGGGTAATGTGCATGCTGGACCAGGGTCTGGTTTTCTTTACCAAACCTAATATTAACTGCTTTATTAAAACCAGTCTTTAGAATGGCCTTTACATTGGTTACACCTTTGTGTCTTCATGTGAATGCACTCAAAGTAGGTATTTGGCCTAGGAGTAGGCATCGTCTTGCAGATTTTTTTTTTATATATGCAGCAGGTACAGGTGTTAGGTGCGGCTGTGTGCAAACAGGAAAAGGACCCAAGGTGCAGACTCCGGAGACAGAACTTAAACCAAAACAGCTTTAATGCTGAACGCAAACATAACATAACTGAAAAAACTCAAAAAAAACAAACTAACACCAGCGGATTGACAAAACACACAGCAAAGTAAACGGTAGATCGCGACACAGACACAGAAACACTGGGCTTAAATACACAGAGGGAGCAATCAGGGAATTGGTAACAGGAGGGAAACACAGCTGGGACAAATCAGAACTGACGAGACCAAAGAAGCGTAAACTGAACACACTGAGATAAGACACAGAACTTCAAAGTAAAACAGGAAACGCATAACACAGACTGAACAAAGACACAGGCTCATAAGCAGGCACTACAAAGGGAACAGAGACGTGGGAACAGGGCAGACACAAAACACTGACTGAACACGGGGATATAGGAACTTAAGATACACATAGACGCGAACTAGACAAGGGGATGCAGGTGATAGGGGAGACAGAGCAACTAAAGAAGACAGAGACCTAAGCCATAAGACAGAACTCAAAGAAACCAAAAACTAGACAGTATAAATAATATCATAAACTCAAAAACCCTGGGTCGACGACCCAGGCATCCTAACAACAGGTCATTTCAGAAACAATGAAATAAGAAAATTGTTAGACTTGTACAGTCGAGACAAAAACTTTGAGCATTCTACCTTGATAGCAAAAATAAAAGCAGCTCTGATGTAAGCAAAGCAAAGAAATCAGTTTCAACATTAGTTTAGTGCAGAGCATCAGGATTGTTGATCTTGTGGAGGAATTGGTTAAGGTGAAGGAGCTGTGCAACTTCAACAAATTGAATTGAATCCTCTTAATAAGTTATAGGCTTTCTGTCCCTCCTGTGTGAAAGTCTTTACTTTGTAAAGTCAACATAACAATATTGTAAGTTCGTTGCATTGTTAGAAGCTGGACAGAGCTGGCCCCATACCTGCTTCTGACTAAGTGCAGGATTTAAACCCAGTTTTAGCAGGAAGAGGGCTGGCTGGCAGTAACTGGCTAACTATTTGGTTACAAACTTGCATATAAAAAGTAAAGTTTTGATCAATTCAAGGCCTGGCATAAGTCAGTTTATTTTTAATTACTCCCTAAGTCAACCCGTCTATAACACCTATTGTTGGGGAACTGGAGCTCATCCCAGCTAATAATGGGCTAACAGAGAAAGACAGTGTAGAATCATCAGTTAACCTAAAATGCAGGTTTTTGGACTGTGGGAGGAAGTCAGAGTACCTGGAGAAAATCCACACAAGCACACAAAGAACACACAAACTCCACACAGAAGCTCCACAAAATGTTTGTTTCGCTCCCATTCCTACATTTTTTTGTATCTTCTTCATATATTATTCACCTCACCCGTACTTTCCCTGTCACTCTCACCCACCAAAGGTAAATATGCCATGAGGGACCTGGTGCACCGTTTGCCTGGAGGCAGCAACAACAACAACAGCAGTGGTGGGGGAGGAGGCGGAGGGGGTGGCACCAACAGCAACAGCGGGCTGGTGGGGAAGACCATGTCGGATGACACCATCACGGCTATCTGCTGCGCGCTGCATGAGGTCATCACCAAGAACATGGAGAACACCAAAGCCCTGAGGGACGCTGGCGGCATCGAGAAGCTCATTGGCATCGCACGCAGCAAGGGAGACAAGTAAGCCGAATGGGAGGACGATGCCATGTTGATGAGGGGGTAAACTAAAAGGATGCGGAGGTGACGATAAAAACGGTAGAAATGATCTAACTAGTCAAGGTTGTGAGGAAGCACCAACACTTTGTATCGTCTTATAGTTTTTTATACGCTGATCACATTTTAAATCACAAGATGCGAACAGGTGGACTGATCAAAAGGATAAGAAAGGAGTAGGAATATAGATGTGTATTGGTGTGAAGGGGCTCAGAGCTGAGACAGGAGAGAAGGTTTACAGAGGCTGTGTGATTGTTTTTCTTAGTGCTGTGAGTCACCAGTCAAAGCAACAGAAAATAAGATCCAGCTAAAGTTTGGCCAGTCTGTACCCTGTGCGCTCCCTGCATAGTCTGTTTACCCACACACCTACATTGTTTTTATTGGACAGTCTATAAAGAGAGAGAACACAGAGGCGCAGAGCAAGGAGTATAATTTTAACTTGTTTAACTTGCTACAACGAAACATATTTACTGTCCACATCTTACAGTGCTTGCAGCTTGTGCTGTAGTAACTACTTTGCTCTATGTGAGGCTTTTGTTTGTTATATTACAGTACTGTGCACTAAAGCAATACAAATTATTTAATTTAAAGGTATTCATTCTATTTAAAGGATTTAAAGGTAGCATCTATAAAACTGAAGATCCAGCCGTGGAAGTTTCCCATTGCTACAAATCCTCGGATTTGCCAGACTTGTCAAGATTACGTTTAGCTGCTGCCTTTTTGAGGTTTCTCACGAAATGTTGTGTACAATGCTCAAAAGCTGTCTGCTATGTTGGAAATTATAGAAACAGGAAAACCAGGGAAAAACCATTTAGCAGTGGTTGCTGGAAGCTGCTGGCTGTCGCCGAGTCGTAGCTGAATCATTCAGGATTGCTTCATCCAGACTACGATGACCTGGATGACTGAGAACCTCCATCCAGCTCTAACTATAATATTTATCAAATAAGAAACTGTTACGCCTGATCTTAAAAGTAGAGAGGGTGTCTGTCTCTGAAATGCAAACTGGGAGCTGGTTCTACAGAAGAGGGGCCTGAAAGCTGAAGGTTCTACTCTGGTTCTACTTCCTAAAAGTAGAATTGAAGGCTTTTTAAGGAACTGTTGTTAGATATCTTAAGCTGGGTATCATCTGCATAGAAACAAATGTATGCTATGCCTGCTAATAATAATTGCCTAAGGGAATGTAAATAGAAATGGTCCCAGCACAGAACCCTGTGGAACTCACCAGATGATCAGTTAGCTGTTTTACAATGACTCTTTCAAGAATTGTTGAAAAGAAGGTTGGAGATATACATGCACATTGATAAAGATGGATGATATTTATGATTGAAACATTAATAAATGGTAGGACGTATTTGAGCAGTCTAGTAGAAATGGGGTTTAATAGTCACGTTGATGGTTATTATTGTAGTTAACCAAGAAAGATTAATTGGAGAGAAATAATTTAAATAAAGTTTAAGTTTTAGAAGTTGCGCTATATAATGATGCATCTGTGGGATAGTTGTGAACAATCGGCTTCTTTAATAACCAAATATTATTTTAAATGTCACTGAAATGTGTGGCATTTGCTTTGTATATGGCTTTGCATTTACACAGATTTGGTAAATGGTATTTATATAGCACTTTTAATAGTCCCTAAGGACCCCAAAGCGCTCTACATATCCAGTCATCCACCCATTCACACACACATTCACACACTGGTGATGGCAAGCTACGTTGTAGCCACAGCCACCCTGGGGCGCACTGACAGAGGCGAGGCTGCCGGACACTGGCGCCACCGGGCCCTCTGACCACCACCAGTAGGCAACGGGTGAAGTGTCTTGCCCAAGGACACAACGACCGAGACTGTCCAAGCCGGGCTCGAACCGGCAGCCTTCCGATTACAAGGCGAACTCCCAACTCTTGAGCCATGATCGCCCCATTGTTTGCATTATAGCTATTGTTAGATTTGTTAGCATTAGCAACCTTCATTCCATGCCACTGGCCTGTGCAGACTGTGTTGCAGAATAGTATACAGCTCTTCATTTTCTCTTTCAAAATACTAAAGAAGTCTGCTGGTCTGTGTGTCTGCTTTTTGTCTTACTGTCTACAAATACTCGCTAACAAATAGTCAAGCGTTAGCAAAACTTGAAAAAGTGCAACAAGCATTTTTAAGAATTTGCTCGTTGATGTTCTTGTCTCATTTTCTAAGGCTGAAGCTGTGCGTAGTGGCTATTGGTTGCATAATATCTTAAAATCAGCAATGAATTAAATCTTATTTTTATCTGTCTTGATGCATGCTTAATCATCCAGGTAAGCAAATCCCAAAAGGTTGATTTTGTTCATCTGGACGTAGCGTTTTCAGTGGGAGAAACATTTAATCACTTATCTGCATTTTGGTACGTCTTTCGCCATCTCACAATGCTGTGATTGCAGCCATTCCCCAACTCTGTGAATGGTACAGAATTTTCATATTAATGATCAAGAGACTGACCTCCCAGCCCATTGTTCATTCAGTGGTTTTTAGTTTCAGTCATTGTGAAAATGTACTGTTTATAAGATTGGGGAAACCTGCAGTCAGCTGAGACTGAAGAAGTCACTTGAATGAGTGACGGAACGTTTCTCCCACTGAAAACGCTACGTCCAGATGAACAGAACCTTTTGGGACTTATTTTTATCAGTTGTTGCCAGCTAAGAGAGGAAGCAGTGCTTAAACATCTAGTCAAATAGTTAGGCACATCCCTAATGCAATTAGATATATGATTTAAAAGCGGTCCCTAGGAAACCAGAAGTTCAAAGAGTGGGAGTTCTCAAAGTTAAAACTCCTAGATGACAGCTACTGACATCTGCTAAGTTGGTTTTAGCAGCAGGTCAGCTGTGTTATGATTAGATTTTGGCACTGAGGAATGACTAAAGTGCAGACAAAGATTACAGATAAAAGCGAGTGAATATGGATATAGATAATATGATGTAGCATAACTTCAGCTGTAATTTTAGCTCACTTTTGTTCTAACCGCATATCGTATACATTTCTAATTTTTGTCATGTAGAAAAAATGTTGCACCTGCTGTGTGCCTTTTCTGTTTTGTCTATGTCTATATCCTAACATGGCATTCAATTCTCCATGATAGATAACAGGCTAAAACGAATTAGTAGTGTGTTTATTATTAGACTCACATTTAGATAAAATTACAGGTACCAGTTCAGTTGTCTTGTTCCTCAAAGAACAGTTTTCCAGTGTTCCCTATTTGCGTTGCTGAAATTACACAGCCCGCAATCTGAGAATCCAAAACAACAACATTATCAAAATGTCTCGAAGAAATAAAGTTTCATTTCCTACGCACTGATAATGCCATATGAGCCAATTAAACCCACAGTCATTAGTCACTTGGGGGAAACAGAATGAAATATTGGCTAATAAATCAATCAGAAAAACAATTATGCAATTTGTCCTACGAACATTTAAGTGGCACATCAGAGAAGATGAAGAAGACGTTTTCCTCGAAGGCTGCATGAGATGCTGATTTACATGCGCGTTTAGTGTCTCCATTTTGTGTCTTTTTCTTTTTTATTCTGAACTGTGGTGTTTTTATAAAACGGCGTCTACCCAAACAGAGCAGAGGACGGTCGAGCTTTACGTTGTGTTTTTTTGTTTTCCTCTCTGCTGAATTCCCAGACATAGTCCCAAAGTGGTGAAAGCTGCATCTCAAGTCTTGAACAGCATGTGGCAATACAGAGACCTGCGCAGCCTCTATAAAAAGGTAAAGCCTCTGTACTCTGGGTATATAAATCCAGAATCTGTGCAATTACATGTAAAACCATTGCAAGGTAACTAAACACTGCCTCAAATCTTCTCCTCCTCATTTGCTTTCACTTTGGTCTCCCGCAGGACGGCTATTCCCAGTACCATTTTGTTGGCTCCTCCTCCACGATAGAGAGAGACAGACAGCGACCTTATTCTTCCTCTCGTACGCCCTCCATCTCTCCTGTGCGGACCTCGCCCAACAATCGATCAGGTGAGCCTACACATCCCTGTCTCCCATCTTCCCATTCATCACTCTTTCCATCAGTACAGTACAAACAAGCAGCGCTCCGATATATCTCAACTGTGCTTCAACCTTCACACTACAGTGACCACTGGTAAATTACTCCGCTGTCAAGGAAAATCCTTGCACTAAAAAAGTTTCCCGCCCTTGTGTTAAGTTAAGGTTTGACTAATAATAATGAGCATCTCCAAGGCCTCCGTGTTTCTGGGCTGATGGAGACACTTTGACAGTGATCACGTTGTGTAAGACACACAACCCTTGAAGAGCATTCATCGATACAGTTCATCCCGTGACAATGTAAAATGGGAGTGCCTCATATTTACTTATTTATCTAAGCTATCAATTGTTTATTGAGAAATTATAATGCTCTTAATAACATGCATTTGCATCTCCTCACTGTGCATGTGCTGCCTAAGCTTTCACATTAATGCGACAGCAATTACGTGGGTGGTGGAATTGCGGTTGAAAACATGTGAAGCCCGTTTGCTGCTTGCATAGATTGTCTGGGGCAGCTGTCAAAGTGTCCTTTCACAAGATACTAAATTCATCTCATCCATCAGCTTGTAAGTGTGACAGAAGAAGTGCCTAAAGTGCACAGAAGTGTGGATGTGTTTGAGAATATATTAGTGATGTGTTTAGTAGTGGAGTCAAAAACACTCTTAGCTCTTTTTTTCCTTTTTCATGGCCAATGTTGCATAATTAGTGCTGGGAGGTTTGGTTATAATATACATGCATCGCTCAGACACACACATCATACAAATAAAGTACAAAAATGTCACTTTCCACAACTGGAGCACAGTCTTCGTGGACTAGCTGTTACTATAAAAGGCAGCACACCAAAAACACTTGTTGGGAGATCCTGTTTAATGGCTTTAATTAGTGCAGGTGAAGCTGAGCTGCAGCTGCCTGCATCAGACTCAACCTGCCAAAGTGGCCACATGCTTCATACACAGCTTTAAAGCTTATAGTGCAATTAGTAAAAAATACCCTTCCTATAGATTAAGCGTGAAATTTGCTATGACTAAAGCAGTTTTTCATATCTGGCTGTAAACATGTTTATATCATCTATAATGTGGCAGTCTATGAGGATTAACTATCATTTGGAGCCAGCCTCAAAGAGCAATTAAAGGAACTGTAGGTCAGCAGGAATCATCACCACAGCCAATATTCACAGCTCTCAATGTCACGTCTGCAACCTCAATTCCTCCATTTCCAGTGATTATGATTTTAAAATAACACCCAATGCATTTATGTTGCGCTTTTAGCGTAAAATTGCTCATATACTCTTTAAATGTCTGCACCAGCGATTTAATGGGAATTAATAGAAACAGTGTCACAAGATTTGACAGAAAGCCAAATGTGTGAAGCTGTTTATGGAGGAGAAAGGCATCACAAAGTCAGTCATTAAGATCTCATTTAAATTGGTGTTCAGTTATAAAATCTGTTTAATCTCCTTTAACCAGTTGTTTCAATTATCATCCACTGTGTAGATGTGAGTTAGTCCTAGTGGACTGGACATGTTGGACTTTCAAACTTAGTACTTCCCCTCCCACCACAGATGTACCCATGGGTCATTTTCCCATTGTATTAATATTCTGGATGCCATTAACAGAGCTGGGCAGACAGTGGCTTAAAAATCTTATTATGTCAAGAAATAAATTAAAGTTTAGAGATACTGTGAGTTTTTGTTTTCAACGGGAAATATATTTTGTATTGGCTGATTTAAAACCACCTTATTCCTTTTTTATGTAAAACTGTGAAAGCAGTTCACAAGAAATGCACAATTAGTATATTGCCTTCAAGTCTAATTTGGGCACAGCCTTTACTCACAGCCAGGGACAAAACATTTTAAATGAAAAATGAGATGATATTTTAGCATTTAATGAGCTTAAATGAACAATACAGGTTTCTTACAGGAGGGGAAAAGAAGATAATATGTACCCTTTAAGAAGTTTCTTATATAATGCCCAATTTAATGGCAATCAAGTGTCGCAAGATTTCCCAGAAAGCCAAAAGTGGGAACCTGCTGATGGAGACCGTGATCACAAAGTCAGTGAGGTTTATATGATGACCTTGACTGCCAAGTTTCATAGAAATCCACCCTGTAATATATAGAATATAGTCCTATTGTCATTCACAGAGCCAGGCAGCTACAGCTGCCAACTGTGAGCTAATGCATAATTCAAAAATAATTTCATATGACTTCATGCAAGAGCATTTGAACATTTTTCACGTATTAGCCATCTACTTTTAAAAACAATAGCCAGGGCTGGATTTATGAGCCTTTCAGCTGACAAACTGGCAAAATAGAAATAAGTATGATAAAGACTCATTTCAGGCAGTCACAGATCGTCCACTGAGCCTTTCTTTAATTTCACTCTTCATTTTCAAATGCACATAAAGGAAATAGTTCCTTTGTATTTAAAACCATAGGAATAAATGCATTTCAATAAAAGTCGATGATTGGGTGTTTAGACGCTGATATTACAATGGATTTTGATAGGTTTGTAGCTTGAACCTATTCGCTGGAACGTTGAAGACAATATAATTACAC